ACTGACAACACAGTGTATTCACAGAGCCAGAAGTACAAGTAATCAGTCAGTGTTGTATTGTATTATTATGTTGTTGGATCATTTCTATTGATGCATTACGAGTAAGCTGAACTTAAATGCAAAAGCTGCCATCCATTGGTTGAGCGACGGACATTTACTATTTTGATGAAAGTCAAGCAAAAATGACTAATATCTTGTCTTACAACATTGTAAATGAGCCAAATTCAGTTTGATTAATCAGCATAATAATCAGCAGACTAATTGTGTAATTGTTAGTTGTAGCCCTTGTAGCAGGTTGAGGTGACGCTACTTTTAATGACTTCATATGCTTTCAGGTATAGTTTCATCTATATCAATGCATGTATATAAAGTATTCTTTTTCTGAAAAGCAACAAGAAACCATCACTGTAAAAGAAATGTAGTGAAGTAAAAGGTATAACATTTCCTTCAGAAAATGTGAAGTAGAAAGTGGCAGTAAATGGAAAAACTCAAGTAAAGTGAAGTTTCTCATAATTGTAGTACAGTACATTCTTTTCCACCACTGGACACTTCAGGGGATATTAGACATTTAATCCACAATGTTTTCAAACACACAACATGTTTTCTACACCAGATTCATGGTTAAAAAGATCAATTTAAAGATCCAATATGTTCTTTAATGTTGTTGCTTCTTGCAATCCGAGATGCTAATGAATCAATGTTTTTAAGGATTTGTACACTTTACTCCCCAGGATAGAGGGGAGATAAGGAGAGGGGATATGAAATGGACTGAATTATTCTTCATTGACTGGCATCCAGATGTTATTCCAGCTCACTGCGTCTGTTTTTCATGCTGTGGCTGAGGTGAGGTCAGAGTTGGCCACTAATGCAGCCAAGAGAGAAAATGGTGAAAGAGTGATGTGGAGAGAGGAGAGAGGAGAGAGAAGACAGGAGGGGTGAAGGAGGGGTAAAGAAAAACAGACAAACAACCGAGGGTTAAAATGATAATAACAACCGCCGCACATCAACATCTGCACGCTGAGTTACTGCTGTGAAGAAGTCACAATCATCAGCCACAGCTGGTTCACATTACCAACTGGCAGTTTGGCACCTTTCAGCTGGATTCCAGCCTCTCATACACACACACACACACAGACACACACACACACACACACACACACACACACATACACACACACACACACACACACACACACACACACACACACACACAAACCACATTCTTTCTCTCTCGCTGCTCGAGTCCATTGCTTCCCCTGTCTTTTAAAAACCACATGACGAGGTGTGCGTTCATGGCTCACACTTTTGTTTCTCCAACACTGTCCCGCTGTGGAGGAAAGCCAACATTGCACTTCCCTTCGCAACCAGAGGCTGACGTAAGAGAAATAATGCAACCAGAAAAAAATCCCTCTTAACACAATACAAAGCAAGTTAGGGGCCAACGTTTGTACCATTTTATTTCTATGTGGATGTGTCCTGGTGGTGTGCAATGCTTTCAGGCTTTAATGTTAAATGTCAGTTTTGAATGTTCTTTTCATTTCAATCAGGAGAGACAAGTCAGATAAAGAAAAGATAATTGTTTATTGTGAACAAATGATATGTGATGATAAAGTCTTCAGAGTCTGTGGCGCTAGGACTCTACAGGGAGATTTGTAATCGAGGGGCGTCTGCCCTGAGCAGCAGCAACATAAATCCCCCTGTGTAGTCCAGACACTGGTGGTGATGGTGGCTGATGAGGCTGATAGAATGATGAGTTGATGAAACTGATGGATCTGCGAAGATTGGGCGGAGGTGGTGAGGTGGAGGGTTGCGTAACAGCAGCAAGAACGTACTGAAGGTAGAGAGTCATATTTAAAAAGAGACAGCAGCAAGATGATAGGCCGACGATGTAATTGTGTCATTGTGCTATTGGATAGAAGAGACCAGCTGATCTAGACAGCTGATCAACATGATCAACAGCCCCAAACAATAACAGCAATGAAATAATAAGCGTGTATGCGTGAGGAGTGATCGGCAGAAGTATGGGAAATAAACGATGGGTTTAGGTATGCGAGAGTATAGTCTTCCTGACTTACGCTAGAGCTTCATTAGTGCTCCCAAAAGTCTCAAAATAAACAGAACATTTTGAGGAAGTGGTTGTGCCAGAAACAGGAAGCCCAGCACTGCATTGTATGTACCAAGACAAACTGAAACACTGAATAGATACAACCTCAATGAGGTAGACTAATAGCGTCCACAGAAAAACCCCAAGGATCACAACATGGAGGCTCGACAAGTTTGGCATCTTTCTTTCATGTGGACCTGGATGTTTGTCTTTTTCTTCCTAGCTGTGTGCTCAGGACTGGAATCACCAAGTAAGCCATCGAAACTATATTTTTGACAATGTACTTATGGAGTAAAGTTTGAAACTTGGTAGAAACAACTTTGTGGATCACTAATGTAACTCTCCGATTGTTTGCCGTCAAGGAAGTTTAGATATGTGTTTTTTTAGCATCACATCAACGATTATTTTCATTACCAATGTACTTTTTTTTAGGAATCATATACAGTATTCTACCTTATCTATAAATGTAACAAAAGGAAAGTGTTCCAATTGCTTCTTTTGTCCAACCAAAACCAGGCAAACATTCTTCATAATAATGATGTGAAAGGGAGAAAAACAGCAAATTCACACATTTGACAAACTCTAGAGAACGTTTTTGCTTAACAACTGAAGGACTTCCCGAGTAATCGACAAATCATTTCAGCTCTAATATGAACCTCTATGTCCCCTCACAGAACTCCGCCTGAAAAACACAGTCTTTGTGGCCTTTGCAGGCGAAGAGCTCAACCTGAGCTGTGAGCTGATGATGCCAGCAAACCAAAGCAGCGACGACCTGACGTGCTCCGATCCGCTCCACAAACAGATCTTTACACGTACCATCAACGAGAACGTCCAGCCGGAAACATCTGATCTGATATTGGAGCTGAAAAACGTGACCAGTTCAGGAGAATACAGTTGCCAATATAAAACAGCCAAAGTGTACTGGTACCTTCGAGTGAGAAGTGAGTATGAAAAGGAGAGAATGTGAATGAAAAAATGAGGTTGAAGTGAACAGTTGTTTGAGTTTTGTTGGCAACGTTTGATTGAATGATATCCATGAACACATAGTGTGGTAATTTCTTGGGAAACCAGCAAAGAAAAAGTGAGGTAGTGGTGGGACAGGAAGCCAATGCTGAAGTGGCTGAAACTTGTATTTAGTTAATGATCTCGATCTCTAGTTTCAAGTATTCTTCAATACATCATGATGTTCATTCAGTAAATGATGGTCCATTTAGAATCAAATAGACCATTAACCAGGGTATGCTTTAGGGCGGGGCTACCTTATGATTGACAGGTCGTTACCAAGGCGTTGTCTAGTCTGGGAGTTGTCAGTGTTGTCGTCTTACAACTTTAACCCTTTCACAGTGAGTTTTCAGTTCATGAAAATGAACTGTAACATTTTAGTCACCTAAAAATGTCTGATTCAGCGTTTGTACTTAGCTCCACCCTCTGGTGTCACTTCTGTTTGCAAATAAACAAGATGGCGTCGGCCAAAACGCCGAACGGCTTCAAGTAGTCAGTCCACAAACCAATAGGTGACGTCACAGTGACTACTTCCACCTCTTATATGCAGTCTATGGTGTAAAGTTTGAGTGGACATGGGATTTCAATAGTTCAACCAACTGATGGTTTAATTTGGAGAATAGTAAGAGCCCACCAAGAAAAAAAATCTCATAAAAAATGTACAGAATTTTGTGCCAGAAATATATATATATTTCTTTATTGTCCCTTCAGATTTAAGGTGGGACCCCTCGGAGGGTGTTTTTCCAGGGGACAGGGACCTCGACACAGAACTCATCGCAGTCACCGTCTTCACCGGTGTGCTGCTGGTTTTCAGTGTGGTCGGCTCAGTGTATGTCTTCAGAGGACATGGGGTAAGATGTGTCCTGCTCAGGACCTCAGACATTAAGAAACAGCATGTTGTAATGTCTCAATATTGCTTGTGTTATGACAGATGAGTTTCTGAAGCTCTAGATGAGGTTGAGTGTTTTTAATGTACAATTTATATTTAGTCAATCGACACAAAATTAGCTATTTGGTGGTTGTCCTGAAACTTCTTCTTAATATAGAGCAGCTGAGATACATCTGTGACTAGCAACCACAAACTCAAATCAAACCTTCCCTTTGTGAGTAAGGTCATTGAAACGGTGGTGTACAGGAACTAAGTCACCCCCTAAACTCAAAGGATTCACCAATTCATTAATAAAGAATTAAATATATAGACACACTGGAAAACTGGGCTGGAATCCTGCTATATCACAAGATCAAAATGACTTTTAGCCTAGTTTGTGCGTTATTATCCAGTTTTTGTCATTATTAATGTTTCTTTCAATGCATTAAATTGCCATCGTTTAGACAGACTGCCTCACTGAATGTGGCAACCGTGGCAGAAAACAAAAGCAGAACATAGAAGAAAGGAAAGAAGAAGAGATGGAGGAAGACAACGTGGATGTGATAACAGCACCGTCTACGTCTTTCTATGCTGTAAGCATCTTTCTGCTCATCAGTGTAAAGATAGACAAATATTTCACTTGAATTCAATGCTGCCACGTCATTTTTGTCCATCGCCTTCCCTGCATTCACATGTTTATCTTTATATTTCTTGTAAACTGATATGGGAAATTCTCACAGAGTCTACAGACTCGGCCCAGGTCCATTTATGATATGCTGGACCACTCAGCTGTCAGCAAAGAGCCAGACCGAAGCCAAGCTAAACCCAAGGAACCCAAAGAAACGGTCAGTGTGGACTTCAGGTGCTTCATCATGTTTCTCTGTTATCAGCGGAAAGTAATTCAACATGCAGTTGGTGACCTGTCTTCTGCTTCCTCCACAGGTGGCAGAGACCACACAAGACCAGCATGAAGGCGTATTTGAGTCTGTCTATGAGAATTTTTGAATCAGAGATAAACTTGTTCCAACAGAATGAGATATTTATATTAGTGGCTGAGATGATCTCAGTTTGCTTTGCTGAGTTATTGTCACATGTTATCAGAAAGTATTTACATTCTTTAAAGTGAAAGTAACAAAAAAACACAATGTAAAAAATACATGTAAATTTGTCAAGCAAAAACACAAAAGTATTATCAGCAAATAATACTCCATTATGCAGGCAAATTGTGCAATGTATTATTTTATTACTAAGGATATATTAACATTCTGTTTGGTTGAGGTGTAGCTAGGCTGATAACTAGTAACTAGTAACTATTTTACTGTAAAAATCCACCGCATAACAATCCTGCATTGTTAATAATGAGCTGTGAAACCAATGTAGTGGAGTAAAATGTACAATAAAATGAAAATCACAATGTTTCCCTCTATATAGTAAAAGATAAAATAGTATAAGTAAAGTATCTCAGAGTTTTACTACAGAAATTGAAATAAATAGTCTCAGTCTGAATTATGTTTGTTTTTGTAGCATATCTCCTTATTTGGGCATTTCCGTCTGTGATAAGAACCATCCTGACCAATGACATTGCAAGGCATCGATTCTACGAGCCAATGACAACGCTCTTGTCAGTTGGACTTCCTGGTTTGTTCTGCTTTTCTACATTGATCATGGCTGCAGAGGGCGATTTTCTGGCGAGATACCGTGCTGTTTCAAATAAACTAAAAAAGTAAGGTTGAATTACAGTACTCCAAATAGAAAGAGGACTGAATATCAGCGTTAGCGTAACATCTCTTGACAATAATGCTACAAATATACACAGCTAGCGCTTATAAGCTAAGTTAAGCTAATAGTTAGCATGTCCCTGTCATGACTGTCAGCATCACATGACGCTGTTTACCGTTACCTTTAAGTGCTTGTAATGTAGTTTCTAAGGAAATATCATGTTACTAGATTGTAATTGTTGATTGCAGGTTAATTAAAAGTAGTAACTGATGTGTAGTTACTTGACAGCTAGCGTTACCGGTGTGGCTAACGTTAGCTATAGTGGCTAAACTAGCGAAGCACACATTCATTCTTCTGTTTAGCACGTAAACAGTTACCTGAAGCGTATTTGCTGGCTTGCTAAATGTCTAATTGTGATGTTTTAGAAATGTTAAATACTTGTGTTTCCTTGTGGCAGACGTTTTCTCCGGAAGCCCAATGTAGCGGAGGCGAGTGAGCAGTTTGGTAAGTGTCTCTGTCAGTCACTGCACAACCTACCGCTACCTTTACACTTACAAAGGACCAATCCCAACGTACCCCCTGCGGCCTTAAACCCTGAACCCTCAGAAACTTACTGTTGTCACCTGGTAAATGGTTGAGTGTGAGAGACCGTAAGGGCTTAAAATGAGGCAAATACGAATTGGACAGCACTGTGCTAGGTCCGTGAGTTTGGAGATTGGGATTGGGCCAATGAGAATATATATTTTACTGTTTTCACTTTGTGTTTTTAGGTCAGTTAGCTAAGGAGCTGAAGCAGCAGGACTGCCTTCAGTATGCTGCCTTCTGTAACCTGGCCATGGCTCGGTGAGTCAACACCTATGTTCTTGTATCGCTTAAGTACACTTGTATATGTATTCTCATACCTTTTGCACCAGATTGACCAGGAATCATCTCAGTCACAATACAGGAGACATTCTGTGGCCAAAAGCATTCAGCCACCTTTGTCCACATGCGTTTGTGTACTTGCGTTGCTCCCAATTCTGCAGAAAGCTTTCCCAGAAGTGCGGAGGCTGTTGTAGCAGCTTTAGATGAGATGTTCAAGACCCACATATGGTTGTAGTTTTACAGGTGTTCACATAGTTTCAGCCATGTACTGTACTTAAAGTCCTACCTTCAAATCACAGAAGATCCCTCAAGTAACTGCTGTTTCTTTAAAAAGCATGTAAATGTAATTTGTGACACGTCGATCCCACTCAAGGGCTCGACCGGAACCATCAAACATTTACTAAAATGTCTGTGCATTAATTTAGTAATTTGTCAGATCCCCACTAGCATGTCGGGCACAGCGTTATCGTGTTTGTTACAAACATTTGAAACTCTTGCTACTCTGTTTTCAGCCCAATAAACGCTGACTGGTCTAATGGCGATCACATGTTTACTGTTGACCTATTGGATTGTGTGTCGCACACCCTGAATATCCTGACTGCAGGTGTGAGCAGACTCTTTTCAACGCTCCCGGAGAGGCTCTGGCGTTGACCGATGCTGCCCGCCTCTTTCTCTCATCTGAGAAGGAGAACAGGGCGCTGCAAGCCCCGGGTTTTGATGAGCACCTTCAAGCTGCTCTCAACTGCTACAGTTTTGCCATCAAGGTACATGATGACTCCTAGTTTTATTTCAAGTGCTTGAAGCAACAGTTTTTCTCTGAAAATATCTGGGAAATGAAAGTTGTAGGATATTTTATGTAAATGTAGTAGTTTATTAAGGGTTTCAGAGTAGATCATGGAGTACATTCCTGTATTGCTTCCACATTTCTAAAGAGACCGTAAGATAATGCTGATGTGCAAATGGCTTACAGGTGCACATTGAGATGAACCAGCCTGTGATGGCAGCCAGCCTGTGTCTAGAACTTGGCAATGCTCTCAAGGTAAAACTCGGCTCCAAGCCGTCCTGAAAGATAAATGAACTTGATCTTTGCTTTTGATTTTGACTTGATGTACTGCTATTCGAATGACAAGTTAATCTCAACTCCTCCTCTGGTCTCAATAGGAGATGAACAGACCAGGAGAGGCCATCGTTCACTTCCAGAGGGCTGCAGAGCTGCAAACACAGACGCCGATTGAAGCTCTGCTGTCGATGGGAGAAATAGCCACGTGTAAAATTCTCACCCGTGAGTTCGGTGCTGTCTGTTTACATCGGATACATAGCTGATGAGTGTTTTACGTGCACATGTGATTTGACTCAATTATCTAGAGTTTACACTTCTCTTGTGGTTTTTGCAGGCGACTACGACGGTGCTCTGTCGGTGTTCACAGAGATGCAGCTGATGTGCCAGGAGAGAGGACTGCAGCTACCGGGCATCAACACCCCTGTTGGTGAGGCTTTGCATTTATCTACAAGCTCTACCTGCTTAAAATAATCATATGTATTTTCAATGCTGAGATCAAAAGCTGGATGTTTAAACAAACTCAAGAAAAATACACCAGGATCAGTGCTCAGAGGCGGTGTCTCACTTTCTGATGTAATATCGTTGTTGCATTTTATTTGATTTTATTTCTTCATTTTCCTGGAAAAGGGGCATTTTTGGACATTGTGGCAAAATGTGAAATCTCCAGAGTTCTGCTGCTGATGTTACTTGAGGTAAGCATGTTGATTTCATATAGAAATACAAGACATTGCCAGAAAACTATCTTTATCACAGGGAAGTGGAGAATATGGCCTCAATAAGGGACAATCTTTTGTATCAAACAGTGTATCAAACAGTTCTGTTCATTTCAAAGCTATGTTTTATAGTTAGTTGTGATGAAACACTGTGTACCCCGTTTAAAGTACTGTTACCACTGATACACAGCAACATGAACACTGTGCAGACCAGTTACATAAAAAAACACTTCCACATCAACAACGACGCAACACAAAACATTGCATCACCGATGCCAAGTATTGATATTGTATCCCAGTACTGATGCATCCCACATCTGTACATGACTTCCTGGTGCAGCAGCACTTTAATTGGTCCGACGTTGCTTGTTTTCCCGAGCAGCCCCCACCTCAGAAGTTGTTACCAGAACATGCCCAGACCCTGGAGAGATACGCATGGGAGTCTTTTGACCCTCACAGCCAAGGTAAAAGCACCTCAATAGCCATCTGTTATTCAAGCAAAAAACACATGAATTATATGTGCTTGTCTTTTCACTGTGAATCACATATTTGGTAATCATGGGTCTTGTCCTCTCCTTCAGTGACCTTCTTGCCCGAGAATGTTTTCCTGCTCCTGCAGTCAGTAGTGGTGAGTTTTATCATCCACATACTTCTACATTTCACAGGATTTCCTGATCCTTCATACAGGAAAAATAATGGAGTCTGTCTTCCCTTGCCAATGGAATGATTATTTTTGTTCCATTAGCAGTGGTGTCAGTGCGTGTAGTCTTTTAGTACCAGGCCACCAGTATTCAAAGTTCTTGATTGATATTTATTGACTTAAATCAAAAGATTAAAGCTACTTGTTTGGTATGAACAGACTGTATCCACATTATAAATGTGCATAATCACTGACAAGATGCTGAGAACTTGTCAAGGTCATCTGACTCTGCAGTTCTGGTTTATTTCGTGCAGCGTTTAACAGCCAATCTGTTTTGCAGATGGCGTGTCAGGAGAAAGACACAGAGTCCCTCAAATCTCTTCAGACCGAGCTTTGGTGAGCACTCAAAAATGTTAATTTCCATCACGTGATGGGGATCGAGCAGCATTTCTATTGCTTCTCGGTCTGCGTTTTCCGTATTGATTATGTGTCCTTTCTTCTCTCCCCTCAGGCCGTTTCTGACTGCAGAGCAGAATCATCTTCTCCACCTGGTGGTTCAGGAGCGCATCACGCCGTCTGGACAAGGCATTTAGTCAGCTTTACTCCCTTCCTCTGGGAACGATACTTAATATAATGGAACATTCCTGTTTCTGACTGGGTCTGTTGTAAGGCCCAAAGAAGTGTTGTTTTCAAAACCTCGATGTTGTAACTTGCACTGAGAGAAACACCGAACTTTCCCCTCAGAAAGAGAAGTCCCACAGATTTCAAAATCCGTGAAAAGCCGATGGGATTTTGTAGTACTGTGTGTTGCTTCTTTTTTTGTTGTTGTAGAGTTTTTAATTAAAATATAAATTAATTTCAATGAAATCTTGTGTGTTCTCAAGTGAAGGCCACAGAACTGGACCAATGAATACATATTTATTGTGCAACAGTGTTGCAGTTACAGCAGTTTAATAGATGAAACACAAAGGCTTTTGGTATGATTTGTTTTATTATTAAATGATATAGCTTGAATTCCAATGTAATTACAAACAAAACCTATTGCATAGTTTTGAATTATGGCGAAATTAAACATTGACCTCCATCCTGGTTCACTTAAAGTTCACCTGTACACATTGCATGCACTTTTCTTATGATAGCAGCCAACTACACACACAAAATCAAACAACACTCCATACAAAATGTTACAAAAATATAATGGTTACAATGTACATAGATTAAAAAAAGGATACACTATACTTCAGTTGTAAAACGAGGATACATGATTAAAACTACTTGTGCTGTATATTGAGGCTGGTCTTTCCTGATTGTTCAAGTACTACAACAGGACTGTTGTAGCTTTGCCAACATGCTGTACCTTCACAGATGCAGTATATTCTTCCACTCTGGAAACCTGCAGTAGTAACTGTCAGCCTCACCACGTGATTATACAGGATGATAAGCACTTTCATCTCAGAGTATTTTCAACTACTAAATCTCTGAAGGGCTTTTCTCCTCCCACATGGTCAACTTAGTTCGATTCTTAAAGGAGTAGTTGGACATGTGGAAGTATTTCTCTTTCCTTCTTGCAGAGTTGGATGAGAAGGATTATACCACTCTCATTTCTGTTTGGTAAACATGAAGCTATCTGCAGCAGTAGGTTAGCTTAGCTTAGCTTAGCACAATGACTGGTAAACAGCTAGCATGGCTGTCAAAACTACGCTAACCAGCACTTCTAAAGCTCAACTTTCTTCTCGTTGGTTTTGGTCGATGCGTGGCCAACAAACACTGCAGCTCATCGCCCCCAGAAACCACAATTTGTCATTTTTACAATTTGCTTTTTAGCTAGCAGTTTCCAGTTTTTATGCTAAGCTATCCCTCTGCTGGCAGTAGCTTTATACTTAACACAGATATAATGCTGGCATCAACCCTCTCTGCAAGAAAGCTTGTATATTTCAAACTACTCCTTTACAGTACTAATGGATATGGACTATTCTCCAATTGTATATGTAACTACATTTTAAAAGACCATTGATTTATTCATTATTTTATGGATACACTGCTATGAAATAAGCACTTTTAAAAGGTTGCCCCCTCCTCATCACAACCATCATGTTTTAGCCCACACTGCCCTCTCCCTTTAATCAAATAGAAATCTATGAAGTAAAATTGTCAAGTTCAGCCCTTCATGTAATATAAGCATGAGCTCCATTTCAATTTATAATATTCAAAATATAAACAAATGGCTCTTTTAAGCAATCGGACATTATCCTCCCCCGTTTTCCTAGCTGCAGATGTAGATCATCAATCTTAATGTTTTGTTTCCCCCCCCCCCTCCAATTTATGACGCAAATCCCATTCTTTTAATTTCCCAAATTCAAACCGGGATCATGATCCCAGGCCTGACCTCGGTCCTCGGCCCCTTTATCCTCTCACTCGCTCTTCTTCCTTAGGATGAGGTAGGTGATGGTTAAGATGAAGGCGAGGACAAAAGAGATCCAGGCCAGGACATAGGAGTGTCCGTACCCTCCCTTCGTCTCATTGGCGTGGAACTCGGCCGTGTAGACTGAGGCCGCTATCATTATACACAGGCCTGCCAGAGAGAAAAGCGGGAAAAGTTGTCACATGGACGCAGAGGAGGCAATTAAGAAGTCATCCTTTTTCATATTGCGAGATGAGGCTCGTGAACAAGGACGGTGTAGCAGACGGTTCCACTGAAATCACAACTAAAGATGACTGTTTCACCAAGTCATGACAATACATGTTAAAATGTTACTTACTTTTTCTTAAGTTAACGTTCTGAATGCAGGACTTCTACTTGGAACACAAAACTGCACCCGTAATAAAAAAAACATCTCAACTTCATGAGATATTTAGCTCTGCTCTTCCTCGCTTCCTCTGAGAGGAAGTGAATACATTTTAAAGCCGTTTTATGCTCGGTCCTATCAAATGAAATGATTTACAGCTACACAGATGTCTAGAACAACTCTGAAGTCAAGCGTTTAGCAGCACATCCTCCATGGAAAAGTACAAATCTCCGCTACAGGAAGCAAGAAAAATAAATCGATACTTCTTGACGTTTGCCTCCGGGTTACTTACAGGCGACTAGCTGTAAAATGCCAGTGAAGGTGAACCTCTGGCCCTTGGGCAGGGTGAACAGCTGAGCCACAAACACAAACAAGGCCAGAATGGTGAAAATACAGGCCAGCACTGTGGTGGCCTGCACCGTCTGGAGATATTCTGTAGCAGCAGGACGACAAAACAGACACACAGTCAGTGAAAGGCCCACATCAACACAGGAACAAGGCAATAGCACTGTTTAAATGTCATGCATTATAACTGCTCTATTATTATTAGCATCCATACAATAATCACTGATAACCTCTGAGCACATTGTGTTACAATCCCCTAATCAGCATCTCAACACATTGAATGTCAAGTTGGATCTCGTCAACATGTCAACTTTACCCTCAGGGTAGTTTTTCAGGTTGGTGTAATGCCAGGCGCTATTCGTCAACTCCCATCTGCCCCACAAGTCAGTTGACACTGTATCAGTGATCCACCAGGCCTGAAGACATACGGGAAGATGGGAATAAACACTTATCTAGAATATCAGGGTTCATTTAAATGCTTCAACTTTAGTGCCCCCTTATGTGAGCTCTTACTAAGTTTGTTTTCTAGCACTTAGACCTGCTTTATCATTTTAAAAAGACAAAAATCTCACTTTTTACAATATGGGACCATTAAATATTCCATAAGAGCTGGTTAACACTGTGGGTGGCAAAATACAGAAAAAAAGCATATATTTTGGCATTTGACGCCTGGGTATTTCCATACAGAAATACATATTGCTTGAGGAGTATGAAGGATCTTGCAAGTGCCTTTTGGACGGTATTTATTACCTCATTTAAAACCCTTTTGTTCTTCCTTTCAGCACTGGGGGGGGGGGGAGTTAAATGAGAAAACAAGAGAGAGAGAACAATAATCCACTCACGTTATCAATGACGGCCACCAGGAGCAGGATGATGGTGGTGATGTGCAGAACAACGATTCCAGCCAGCATCAACATCGTGGCCTTTTGTAAACTGTTAATAACAAGTGGGAAAAAAGGACGCACGCCGTTATTTATTATCCAGCGTGTAGGCACGAGGGAAAGTCAATTCACACAGCTGTCCCAAATTATTACGGGACACTCGAAACAGAAAGAAAAGAAAAAAGAAACACTGACAGAGAGGAGAGCCGTTGCATGCGAGCCCAAACTCGCCCCAGAAGTCTCGCAGACGGACACAATTTTGAATCACGCACATCTGCTATCTCTCACACACACACACACGCACACACACCTCACACAACCGGTTTCTCATCTTTAAAAAAAGGTTTATTTACATTAGCAGGCCCCAGAAACACTTATCTATTTGCTTAACGACTCGTTATTTTTTCTCGGCTTTAGTCCGTTTCCGTCGACAAGAAAGGCGCTCTTGTTTAGACGGTGTTAGGGCATTCCTCAAACGGGCTGCGCTCCGTTACGCACACACACACACGCACACGCACACACAGGGCCTGTACTAGAGTCAACAACTTTGAAAAGAGCGCGAGAACACGACGACAGAAAACAATAATAAACACAGCTCTAACTTATCTACACGCATATAAACACTGTCGTCTGTTCAACTCAATGACCGTCCTCAGAGGTTAGCGCTGCGTGGTCTTTCAAAAAAATGTTTTGCGCTCATCCGCACAATTCTTCAAAGCGCTGGTTGGAAAATCTGTAGTTAACTTTTCTGCACTCTACGCAACAAAAAATAACAAATACTTTCACAAATGATGCGCGAGAGCGTTTTCACGGCGCGCGGTGCGTAAAACACAACTTCACAAAGTGTAAACAACGTGGATTAAAAGTTACCTGAAAGTGCTTTGACGCACGGCGATTTTGGGAATGTGAAACAGCGTAGACCCACCCAGCTTTGAATTCACAGCACACACATCACCCTGTTTTCCCTCTCCATTCCCTCTCTTTCCTCTCACCAAGCCCCACCCATGAAGTTTCTTTTTTCTCTCTCCCCCTTTCAATGAAATGTCCAGACGGTTGTTCCTTCAGCTCCAAACTGCGCGTAAAGAGGATCACTCATTTAAAAATCATTCAGACTTTTGTATTCCTCAGATCCCCACAGCTTGTTAACAGCAGCAAGATGACAAGAAGCATGTGCAGGAACATGATTTTTCCTCACATGAGCTCTTAGTAATCCAATTATGCGACACTTTGTGGCAAAATATAAAAATACATATATATTGATAGAATATATAATGATACATCATATATACACACAGAATAT